CAAAGCGTTCTGCTGTCTGATTAATAATTGTTGTACTTCACAGTTGTGGCTGTAAGACGTCAGTTTTCATTTCGTTAGCTAAAAACGTTTTGGTGCAATTAATGGTCGATTGTTGCGGCCGTGTTAGAACACTATTGTGAAAAGTAGAAGACTTGGGAAGAGTTCAAGTAAAAGATTCTTGATCATAAAATCAAAACATCATTGATTCGAAACTAGCTGGTCAGCTGAGTATATATAGTGGATCAGAAGGTTACCAGTTCGATTTTGAGTAAAACCAGAAGTTTTTGATGTCCATAAAGAATAAATGAACTGTTGTATTTTGCTTGTTTATTGACAAATTTTGATCAAATTTGGCAAATACATTGATTTCATACTAAGCGGTTGACACCAATAAAAAATACTTGAAGATTCCTGTGGCAGAAACCCTAAGTACCAATTAAACCTAATTTTATTTAAATAGAGAATAAATACATTTAATTAAATAGGAATTCGCTGAGTATGATGGTTTGCTGCGGTGGGGGTATTGTGTTTGCTATATTGCTGCTGGTGCCATAGCTGAGTCAGTTGTAAAAACATTTAAAATAGTTTCTATACTCAACGGCATTCAAGCACCTGTATGACAGCGTAAAGTAAAATATTTTTTTAGTGTATTCAAGTAAAATATATTTTTTACTTCCTCACTGTTTTCAGAAAACCATTAATAATGATTAAGAATCTAATGAGCTTGAAATAGTAACTAAGGCTGTAAGGACAACGAATAGTAATATAATAATATTATTATTATATTATATATATAAATTATTATTATACGCTACCTCATCAGGGGGACGGCCGCTAGGTGTCATAAGAGTATCTTCAAGGTTAGCCTAGATCAATATGCACACATAAAAATAAAGGTATTTATTAGTAAAAAAACAATGCCGCAAACCCGACCTCAAACGGACAACGGAGTCAAAAATGGCAGCATTGCAATTAATTGATAAAATATCAACAATAATTAAGGTAGATTTTTAACATTTTAAGAGATAAAGTATGAATGAATGAATGAATGAGGTGCTCCGTTATCTTATCGGTTTAAAGGTCCCTTATCGCCGAGCGCCATTCATTCGCGAAATAGTCATTGAGTATTTAAATTTATCTCTACTATGGAATGTCATTGATTTAATTTAGACTTTAAAAAATCATAACTTCAGAATGAAACATGCTATTGGAGTCGGGTTTTCGCAGTTGTGTTCAGCTAAATAAAATCTTCAAACTAAAATGTATTTTTCTATCATAAAATAATCCGGATATTTTAAAAAATACACAAAAATACAGATTTATCTGGCTTAATCCGTATAAAAGCTAATTTTAATTTTAGCTTTTACTGCAATTTAATTATCTTTTCCTTATTAACTAAGCCATTGCCAAATTTGTTTGAATTATTTTCCTAATGTCTCTTTAAGAGTCGTTAAATGAAAACAATGTCTGTTTGCTAAATATATTCCAAACCCTAGTGAAGAAAGTTTTGGGAAACGGTTTATGGGCGAAAAATTATTGATGAAAGCACTCATGAAGTAAACTATTGGAAATGAAAATTGTTATCGGGCTTATGAAATTTCAAAGCAAGATATAGAACTACACTGGCAAATAAGATAATTAGAATGTAAAATTATAAAAATATACAACGTCCAAAAAGGAAATACAGTAGTCTTTACGGGTATTAAGAAACAACGCCTTCAAATATATAGAGGCAATAGTGGTACTGTATCCATTTTGCATTTAACGCCTTGAATATATTTTAGCAATTAAAAAACTTATAAGGTGATATTTATTTGGAAACGAATGTTGTTTTATGGTACCAAACTATAGGCCTACTCTTAGCTGCGTGAATTTTGAATTACTGATTAAGGCTACACATGAGTGCACTTAAATAAAACACAGCTTTTATGTGGTCAAAATTATTAAGTATTATTTTTGGATGGAACATATCTTCAAATGTTTCAAAGAGGGTATATTTAAAGGAGTTATTAAATATATACTTGAATAACAAATTAAATATAGTAAATAAAAGTGAGAATGCCATTAATATACGTAAATACTTCCGACGCAGCTAAACAAAATGTCTTCCTAGACCCAAGCCGCAAATAACCTGAGATTGTAAAAGAACCACCAAGTCGGTAAACAAATACTAACAGATTATTTTAGATTTTTATTTTCATTTTAGATTTTCTGCTATAAGGAACACAGAAGATCTGGCTGGTTCGCAACATTGTGAAAATACACATTGCTTCCGGACTTAGTCCATATCAGGACAAATACGATAGAATCAATTTTCCTCGTAAATATATGAACTAAAAATACAAAACTTTGAACTGTTTTGACTATTACATACACTAAACTATGTTCAGATGTTATCTAACAGCTAACACTGATCTATGTTTGTACAGATAACATGTAATAGCGCTGCGACACTCAAGATCTAACCTCTATTGTATTCCAAAACCGCCACAATGACTAGCCTTGCCGCTTAGCAACAATGGTCGCGACCTTTGACCTTGAACGCCTGATAACAGATGACCTTGGTGATAAGACTCGGTCGCCACCCGACTACAACACGGCTGTCAGCAATACCACACGCAATATGGAGTTTTGTTTGATGTTGAAAATATTTCTCGTTTCCACACAATTCATCAAGTATGCTGAGATAATCTTTAACGGAATGGCTAGAAAGTTGAGTTGCTGTTGTTGGAATACTACGGATTCCTAAAACTACTTTGTTCGTGTAAAAATTTCGTAGAATATGCTCGTGACATATTCTACATTGGTCATTTATGCAGAAGAAATTTCACATATTTTTTTTATCGGAGCTGGGATGTGGAGCGTCAATGATTTAGATTTTGAGGTAGAATTGAGTATTAGTTCGAATAGTTTTAATTTCAATACCAAGAACAGACGATAACGAGAACTATAGTTTTCCTTAGCCTAAACATGTGGAAAACTTTTCAATATTATAAACCAACGAAACATCGTATTCCTAAACGCTTTCCAAATTTGCACACGTGTTTTTCCCGAACTACTGAATTTTATTTCACCAAACTTCTGATTTTTTCTACCCCCCACATAATCAGATAGGGTGATCTCGTTGAACTATTATGCAGACATTTCTTTGTAAAAATAAAGGGTTTTTTTTATTTTACTGCTGTCGTATGTCTAGCCTAGAAACAGTTTATTTTGAAGAAAAATTTAAGTTCGAGTGAAACAGAGGCATATAAGGGTTAATGTGAAAGTAATAGTAATTAAAAGGGGTTACAAAAGCAAATATAAACTGTTCTCTACTTGAAGCGCAAGTATAAACTTTTTAATTTGACTTTTTTTAACATTTTGTTTAAGTTTGTTGAATTGTTATGTATAATTGTTTTGCCGTTGGAAATAAATAAATAAGTGAATGCATTAGCGAGCTTCTTTTATGTCGTGATTATTTACCTACGTAAGTATATAAAATAGACGAAATATATTGTAGATTGGATTCGTTAACGTTTTCCCTATTGAGGCTGAGTGTCTCGTTGCGTACTAGCATTGATTAGAGTCAACTCATCAATTACTATTGCACAATCGATTATTTCTAGAATTATCGTAATGATATTTGAGAATTATCTTAAAATACTTTATACAGTGGTTCAATTCAGTAAAAATATGTAGATTTATTAAAGTAATCCAACCCTAAGACGAACTAGCATAGCAGAAAATCCAGATCGAAAACCCCCAACTGATAAAGTCATTAATTCCCCCACACAATTTCTAAATTCCGAACAGACGTAATTGAGAGCAAAAACCAAAGCGTCGCCATTCACATTGTCCCTGTAAACAGGAGACTCGTCGCGGCAAAAACTGTTTAATTGGTTTATCCTTAGTTGTCGCCATCGTTTTGAAACACTGACACTTTTTATTGGCCGCCATTTTGCGGCATGCGGCCACCAGAGCGTTTCTGTGGTCTTTGTGCTGGAGCAGTCACCGGTGCTATGGTGTGTTCGTGTGTGTATCGCTCCGTTGGCTACGAACTGTACCCCCCCCCCCACCCCTCTAAGTGCTATAGTCCTACGGTTGCGGCCACCCGCGAATTTCATTTGCAGCTTGGGGTAATTTCATTTTTACTATCCGCTCCACGGCGCCGGGCGGGAAACAGTCCGTAAAGTCGGTTAGGTCGCCATTACCAAACTTACTCACGGCTCGTTACCCTGGGAAGGTAGAATGCTCCATGAATATATGGAAGTGTTCATGATTTACGGGATGAAATAATTCATCTTAAAACATTTCGGATGGAGTAAACAATGAAAAAATAAAGTACAATATTTGATAGCGGAATTTAAAATTAGATATGAATTTTCAGTAAAATTTAACTCACAGTCTTTTAAAAGCTTCGCTGTAAAAGGAGTGGTCTCTAAGCCGTGGCATTACTTAAAAACTTAATCAAACACCCATTCTATTTTGAAAGTAAAATTAAATTCCAATATTTCATGGATTTCTTTTCCATCCCTTTAGTTGTTAGAGTTTCTTACTGTTTGTATTCTAATTTCAACCAATCCTTAGTGTTATATTATTTACGACAAGTAACGTAACTTAACTAGCTCAAACCCCCAAAGAGTTTGTGTGTGTTTACGCCAGTAGCGTTTTTAAATTTTATGTAAGTGAACGGGCCAAATTCTTGTCTTGGTACTATCAATTGTGTAAATTAGCATCTTATTGATTGACCATTAACAACTGGCATCTGGATCCGGATTTATCTCGCAAATTGCACTAGCAACATATAGATTTTAAGCCAGCAATATAGCCACTCGACCAACCATACAAATGTAGTTCAGTATTTTTGGTTGGAATATTTTTGTACTCAAGTCCTGCTTTAACTAATCTAAGTCCTTATGTTACTACAGTAGTAATAATTAACTTGTTCAACTATTAACCTATCCCTAATATTCTTTTAAGTTTATTGACTTGTTAACCTAACATAACCTATCACTAACCTGCCCAACCCTAACCTCTAACGGGTTAGGATGCCACGAGTCAGCTGACGATAGGTAGAAGCGCACCACAATCGCGGGAAGTGACAAATACGTGGCAATCAAAGTGACAAACACCACTACAAAGAAGACAAAACCTAACAATAACCCCATCACAGTAATGATCACCTGGGAATCAGCTGATGACAATGTGTGGGGGAGGGGGGAGGCAAATGGGACACTTGTGGTGATGACACACATGCAAATTGGATCTTGAAAAAACAGATTTGCTTTTCAAATGCGCTGAGGCGAGGCGCTCGAGCGATTACGGGTAAGCTGAGAATCGTCATTCGTAGCACATACGTATGTGATCTTATAAGTAAACATTAGTTGTGGCGGATTAGGAATATTTAAATCCGTCGTTTAATTTGTGTGTGATATTTTCCAGTGTGGTACTGATTTTTTGGGGGTTCCAGTGTATTTTACAATGCAGATTTCAAAAGAAGAAACATAGCAGTAAATTTGTTTGGGGGGTAAACACAATATCATTTTTTAGTTCACGGTTGTTAAGTTTAGGAATTTTTTATGTCACTAATACAGATTCACCCCTGCTTTGTTATATAGTATCTTCGTAAATTATCTTTGGTTTAGACACGCTTAGGTTGACCAGCTTTATTTCATTTCTAAATATCCACCTTAATACGAGAGCTGCGGATCACAGCCCTGGGTTGATACAGAAACGTGAATAGAGCCATACTAACTGGGGGGAACCTGGGTTGAAGGTGTATTTTTTAGGAATCTTTAAGTACCTTCTTAAAACTAGTGAACAACTTACAAATTGTTAAACCGTTTTGTAAAGTTGTTCAAAGAATGAAATAATATTTTATATTTTTAAGTGTAAAATGTGACTTTAAAAAACTTAAACGACTGTTTTACTAACACACTAAATTAACCAATGGTTATAAAAAAACTCAGTATTAATCAGTACTTCAAATTATGCTAGGTTATACTTAATTACACATTATAACCGTTCAACTTACATGTTTTACAACATTGTTATTGCATTTTTCAGCTTGAGAAAATGTTCACTGCCTATCTGAAACAAAATAATCATGTTTTTAGTACCAGGTTATCAATGGCTTACATTTCCTCGGGTTTTTCGTGAACGAGATCCATTTCACAATATTCAATATCTTCAAAATGTAATTAACTACTTTAGATTAATACTGTGAAGGATAATACCTACAAGGTAAGATTTAGCACAACACCCTGTACAATCCCACATTCAGAAGGGAAGGACAGGATAATACTATGGGAACAAGACAGCCTCTCCATTGTAGATAGAAAAGCAAAGCACCTTAGCGGAGCGGTTTATGCATAATATATAGAGATGAAGCAGTGCTGGGCTTATGCAAATACAAAGAATGTAGCCCCAACCCTGGTAATGAACTCTTCAGCAATTTGGACCGACAAGGGTTCGTCTTGTCTGGTCGAGATCCATCTTGTTAGAACAGACACAAGACGGGAGAACACTAGATGGTCATGTTGTGATAGGAAAGTATTTAAATGATGCATTGTTTATAAACAGATTATTCTAAGTAATTATCAAAAAGTACATAGTGAAAGGTAATGTATTCCTTGCAATTGGAAAAAAGTAATCTTACTCAGTGTATCTTGGGAACAATCTTCTTTATTAGTTATCTTTAAGGTTTATGTTTTTTCCCAACCTAAAAACCCTCGGGCTTTTAAAGTGTCTCTGTTCAAAAGATGATAACTGTTTCTTGATTAATTTGCCTTAAAACAGTAAAAAGGTTGCATTGATGAACATTTCTTAAAGTATAGTTTAAAATGAGTACGGTACAAAATTAGTATGAAAAATATTGCAAGAAGGCTGCTAATCAAATAGGTCAAGACTGACCATAAAAAACTCGGCTTCCGAAGTTCTATTTTTTCCTATCTGCAAGCTGCAGTATAGGAAAGCTCAGGGTACGTTGAGTGTTTTGTTTTGTAAATTAAGTAGGCATACTTTTTTACAGTTTGGTATAATATGGTATAACGATTCGTTGTCTAAGTAATCAGTGCCTTCAATATGGAATATTTCGTTACCAAACCGTCTTAACCCCGGTGTTTTTACTAATAGTTTCATAGCAATATTGAATGCATTAACAGCAAACAATACAAGTAAATGAGAATCCTAATCACTCGTGATAAAACACGAAAACTCCTTTATCGTTTTAACTCGTTCCACCTCAAGATACCGTGGATTGTACAAGTTTCTCCTATAAGATTTAAAGCGTTCACCAGCCAGGTTGAGGTTACACGAATCAGTGACTTCAAAGACCCACTACCACTACATCAGTGACATGAATATGCAGATCATAACAGGTCTGGCGAATCAATACTGATAACTACAGGGTAACTCTTCATATACTGTATAGTCTGTGTATACTGTCTAGGGAATACACGGTATACATCAATGCTGCACCTATTACAAGTGAGTTTTAGTATGTTACTAGAAGATTCGTTTAATCATTAGACCTATCTATTTATTTCATCGTTAGACGAATTAAATATTCTAAATATATTTTACTATAGAAATTATGCCTTTTTCTGGAAAGAAATTTTGGCAGTAGTTTGTAAAAATTACGTGCAGCCATTAAAACTAGGTACACAGTTATTTTTAGTAGTGTTTCTTCAGTGGCAAATTGTTTTTAGATCTCATTAATTTACATACATCAAGTACTAAACGGAACACGAACAAACATTTCCCTTTTTAATGAAATAGCTTAAGAGTTAAAATATTTACCAACCTTTGACACATATCAGTAAAAATTTTCAACTAAGACGCACTTAAAAAAAACATAAATTCCTTAAACTCATTTTATGAAGGGATTACAGTTTTTGTTCATTACCTTCCTTTGTCCTTCGTTGTACGTATTAAGTTGAATTAGAATAACCGTGTAAAGCTATATAGTTGAAGGCTTTAGATAGTGTTAAATATACTTATAAAGCTTCTATAGCTAAAAAAAACTATATCGTAGAATATTTAACTAATTAGTACTACCGACCTTAAAAAATGCTTGCATTGTTAGGAATGCGAAAAAAATAAGTTTCAGTATATATTTCCAATGAAGAATTCAATAAATTCGTTTACCTACGACCGTTTTTTAAAGTAGCCGTTTCAGTACAGTTCTTAGAATTGAAAAGTATCTCATAACAGCATTGTTTACATTCATAACAGCATAGTTTTACTCATAACAACACGGGTAACGGACCAATGTGGTTCAAGGATTGAGAGAGCTGATCAAGCTCAAGATTCAACTGATCAGCTGTTCAGGCCAATTTAATTGTTGATTGGTGCAATTAGTATTTGATACTATGTTTCATTGCATCAATGTCAGTGGCAATTAGAGGTTATAAACAAAAACATAACCTCTCTTAGAAGCTATGAGTAGTGATTTTTAGTAATTAAAACGCCGTAGTAGGTAAAGTAGTGTACGCAACTCGCGTAAATAGTGTTAACGACACTCGTAGAAGTTTTTAAGGCACTCGCCAAGGCTCATACCTTAAATTTTCTACTCGTGTCGTTAACACTATCTTTACGCAATCGTTGCGTAAACTACTATTACGTCATAGTTTTGAATTTTAAATTTAAATTTTTACGGTTTTCTCCTTTGAAATCTAAAATGTTTCATAATACAGAAAAAATGTTCCCTTAAACTTCAAATAACAGAATTAAAGCGTTGCGGCAGCCAATCCTACCGATTTTCCTGAGTGTCAATTTCATTCATGACCAATTTTCACCCACGGACCCAAATTTGAACCCCTGTATTCGGGCTCGGTGGTAACAGCGTGTTATTGGAACGGCGGAGGGAGGATACGCAAACAGACAGGATCAGCAATAAGAGAGAATCTGCATTCGGTGAGTCAACCGAATCGTACAATACACTACGAGGGTGGAGTACCACAGGGGAGCATACTGGGGCCAGTGATTTTAATATTATGTTTATATTTATGTCATGTTGAGTTTGTCATTTTATTGTTTATGCTGTACAATAAATATAGAGGAATTTTAATCCTTAAGATTTTGAAGATCGAATCAAATCTTGGTAAAGTGATAATATATTACGTTTTAGGTGAGAAAGGATGACTATTTATTTAAACTTGAGGCAGTCCAGTGGTCGAAAACTCGACCAAAATTCAGACTTCTCTATTTCCCCCCCCCCACGCTATAAATAAAACACAGTATGTAATTGGAATTCCTTTCATTTGTTTTTATTTGTTGTTTATGTTTCGATGTTATTTCGTTACCAGCATGGCAAACCATTAATTCTATGTTAAGGTTCCCATTGAGGTCCATGTAACTTTTTTTAATTTTAAATTAATTTTGTGTTTTTATTTTTGAGCCTATTTCAATTTATAAAGGGATTCTGCACATCTACTGGAAAATATCTTTCTAACAGTATGCAAAGATTTTCCCTGTGATTATACGAGCTGAGAAAAAAAAGTTTAAAAAAAACATGTTTGAATATTAATACATTATACATAGAAGATACAACTTGTAGTACCTAAATTTTAGTGTAGGCTGATTCCAAAAGGTTATTGTATGGTAAATAAATACTTTATAACCAATCTTCCTACAGTCAATAAAAGTATCCTATATATCAATTGTACGGGGTCACATTTGGTGAAAAAATGAAACGATTTCCAACTTAATGCCTTTTAATTCCCGTGTAATATGAGGACTGTTGGAAGAACAAATGTAGGATGTATCATATCCCTGATGATTTGATTTTGCTAAAGCGATATCACTGATCTTGTGAAATTAAGCTATCCAATCATCTCATGCATCACACACTAATATTTCTTCATTAAATTTAAGTTAAAATGTGCATGAATTTACTCAAACAAATCATCATAATCTTTTTAAAGATTTCAATAGCTCAATCTACTCTACAACTAAGATAGGGGTTTTATGAAATTAGTATGTGGCTAAAGTACTAAAGGTGGCTACTTTCTGGTGCAGTCGATGGAGGTGGGAAATGCCTCTTTACCGTACTACATAAACCGTATTTACAGTACCGTACTACACGTGAATATATTTGTGATGAAATAAAAACGAAAATTAAACCAAATTAAAGAAGTTCCAATCACATGTTTTATTTACAGCGTAGAGTGAAAATAGATAAGTTTTCACAATCCATATTTTTGG